TGATGGATGTTTATCATTAACATCAGTTACTATACCATCATCAATACATTCATTAGGAGACAATTGTTTTAGAGGAGTTCAACATTAAAGTCAATTAATATTCCAAAGACAGTTAGTAAACTAGGAAATGGGTGTTTTGAGAGATGTACGTCATTAAGTTTAATTAATATACCAAGAGGAATAAAAGAAATAGGAGGTGGATGTTTTTATGAATGTTTGTCATTAACCAGTATGAATATACCGACAACAATTAGTAAAATAGGAGGGACATGTTTTAATGGATGTAAATTATTGAAGAACATCAATATAAAAAATATTCAATTTATTAGTGGAAATAGAATATTTTTAAATGAACCAATTTTATTGAGCATTAGAACACCAGAAAATATAAAAGAGATTAACAGAAATGAAATTAAACAAAGAGATATTAATGAATTTATAATACCAACAACAATCACTAAATTAACAGATGAATGTTTTAGTGGATGTACTTCATTACGCTCATTTAACATTCCTACAACAGTAAATGAATTAGGAAGTTATTGTTTTTGTGGATGTTCATCATTAACATCAATTATTATTCCATCAACAGTTAGTATAATTGGAGATGAATGTTTTGATGGATGTTCATCATTAACATCAGTTACTAAAACACTAAAAGAATCGAATGAAGAAAATACAAAATGTGTTTTAGTGTAACAGATAATTGAATCAACTACCATTTTTATTTTTCAATATATTCTTCTTTTAACTCTTCTATTTTATTATGAATGTTGGTTATTTATTCATGTTTAATTATTACCATTTCGACTTTAATACCTCTCTTATTTCTATAAAGTAAATTTCATTTAAGAAAGTTATTCTACGAGTTGAATTTATTATAGTAATGATTGAATTGTTTAGTTTCTCATTAAGTAATGTTATTAAATGAACAATGTAATTGATGTTGTTATTATTTGTTGTTTCATATAATAATTTTAACATCAAGAAACTATTAAATGATTTGAGTTGAACATTACCACAAAGTACATTCTTCATTATTTAGTTAAAATTCTCTTGAATAAAACTAGTAATTTAATACACATTCAACATACCCAAATAAATATTTCATTACAAATTGAATTATCTTCAATCACTTTGAATTTACATTAATAACGTTATAGAGATATATAAAAATAACAAAAGAGTATTAGAAGTAACTAAAAATTATGTAATGATAAAAAGAAACACACAATCAACTAATATTAATCATAAATGTGTATTAGATAAAAATTCAAAGAATA